GTCGAAATGAGCTGCAGTAGCTCCGAAATGAGCTGCAGTGGCTCCAAAATGAGCTGCAGTGGCTCCAAAATGAGCTGCAGTGGCTCCAAAATGAGCTGCAGTGGCTCCAAAATGAGCGGCAGTGGCTCTTTATCGACTATGACTAAATCCCTTCTGATTTACATTCAATACCAAACAAGGGATACAATAAGCCCTTTAATTTGCGACGCCACCTCAAGTCTCCAATCCACAGCATCTCATTGCCATCACGACAAACTGCGAGGGGGGAATACATTTGTGCAGATAGCGACGAAATACCAACCGTTGTTGACAAGGTGACCGATGGTGCTTTACTGTATTACGGCTGTCCATGTTGTTGGATCGTTCATCCCAAACGTGACTGGATGATTGAACATATTGCTAATACTCACGAGCCGCTCTTCAATGACGATGTCGCCATATCAACGAAAAAAGACGTGTTCCACTTTCGTCGTAGCATTGCTTCTCCTCAACCCAAGCGCCCAAAGATCACGGACAAGACAATTGCTACGCTGTCACCAGTTGTGTCGATTGTTTCCGATCAATATCTTACTGATCAAGTCAATCTTCTTACGTTTAAACAATACCCTACTGCACACAAGCTTCTTGTAAAGGCTATGGATGTCCCCTTGCCCACTTTGCCCCGCTTTTTGTGGGCATTTGAAATTGAAGCCAATACCAACGATGACGATTTGGTATTCGTCAATATCCTTCGGTGCATCCTCACTGATTTTTACAGCAAGTGTCAACGTAATCCACAATATCAACCAAAATATGAAAGAACTTTCTGGGTGGATCGAGTTGTCCCGATTTTTCAAGCACTAGGCGATCACAGTCAACTGCTGGGGTTTCAATGGTGTGAAGTACCCACTGAAGAACATGCTGAATTTACAATCGACCCAACGACGTGGAAACCCGGTGTTTCCAACAAATTCCATGATGGATTGGGTTATGACAACAACAATTGCAATAAACTCATAATGGAAGGCTCAAGCGGATATATTGACAAGGAAAACGTACAGCGCTCACAAGATGATACTATTAAGATCATTCACGCATCCATCGAACTCCTGGATTCGCTCATCCGACGCCATTTGTCTGCCTCATTTTCAAGCCTCTGTTTGATCGACTCTTTCTCTGTGCAATGTGTGTGCACAAGCATTACCTTGTCCACAACATCTTTGGATCCTGAAGATCCTGGCGCATACATTCATACACAGGTACGATCTGCCGACATTCCTTTGAATTACGATAGCCGGGTATCATGGACCGCCATTTTTGAGCTCCTGGCGTATCTCTTCACCTGTTTGAAAGAACAGAAGTTAGTACTTGAAACCGTCACCAAGGAAAGTACTGGCCTTCTTCCTGTCACTGATGGTGATCGTGGCATGAATGTCTTGCCAGAAATTGATGGGTCATAATGATTTCGCATCCGTTAGTATTACTTTTTTCTACATCCTTCCCAGATAGTAAAGTCTTGTAGAATTGATATGATAGTCGTTATTTTCTGAGTAAAATTTAATCAGTACTCACGTTTGTTTTGCATTTTGCATTTTTAAAAAAAATGAGTTCACAGCCAATTGTACAGGATACTCTTTTCGAAAACAATCGACACAACTGGTGACAGCGTAGCAATTGTCTTGTCCGTGATCTTTGGGCGCTTGGGTTGAGGAGAAGCAATGCTACGACGAAAGTGGAACACGTCTTTTTTCGTTGATATGGCGACATCGTCATTGAAGAGCGGCTCGTGAGTATTAGCAATATGTTCAATCATCCAGTCACGTTTGGGATGAACGATCCAACAACATGGACAGCCGTAATACAGTAAAGCACCATCGGTCACCTTGTCAACAACGGTTGGTATTTCGTCGCTATCTGCACAAATGTATTCCCCCCTCGCAGTTTGTCGTGATGGCAATGAGATGCTGTGGATTGGAGACTTGAGGTGGCGTCGCAAATTAAAGGGCTTATTGTATCCCTTGTTTGGTATTGAATGTAAATCAGAAGGGATTTAGTCATAGTCGATAAAGAGCCACTGCCGCTCATTTTGGAGCCACTGCAGCTCATTTTGGAGCCACTGCAGCTCATTTTGGAGCCACTGCAGCTCATTTCGGAGCTACTGCAGCTCATTTCGA